TTCCATGAAATATTTTGAAAGATGCAGGAGTTTTGAGCGAGCGCAATACTCAATAAACTCCTACCTAAAAAAGCATTCGCCATCGACAAATAAGGTACGTCTGAGATGTTTTGTTGTGTATTTAACGATAAAATCACGAGAATAAAGGAAAAGGTCACTAAAATAAAGAAGCTCTTGATTGTTAAACAAATTCTCCTTGTCAGCACCTTATAGGAAATGCTTGGAGAGCAGTATGGAGAATATGCCTACTGATGTTAAGGTGTAAGGTTCAAAGAAGTCACACTTGCAATTTTGGCCCGTCCGTAGCACAAATAGATCTAAGATGGTGCACGTTTTGATGCAGATAGAACATATCCTTGGTAGGAACGCCGCCGATGACGCAAAAATGAAGATCTTTGCACTCCGTCAGCATAGTGGTGTATGCGATGTCGAAACGAGGACTGTGGTCCGACACTGCAATGTCAAGATTCTTTGCCATTACACCAAGAAAGACGTCATCAATATGAATCAATTTCAGCTAAAAAAAAACGTAAAAAAAACAAAAAAATTAGATTTGAAATTATGTGGCATGCGTGGTAACGAAATAAGGTGGCATGAGCGAATACGGGGGGGGGGGGGGGGGGGGGGAAGTGTGGGATCTAGACTTACATTTAGAAAACAAAAAACCCCTCTCCCCCTGGATTCGCCTCTGAGTTGTGGAAATAGATATGCTATTAGGGAAGGTGTAGACACGGAAGGCTAGCAAGTGCGCTGGTTCAAAGCAATCCTGCGCCCTGTGTCGTAATGGATCTGGTCAATGTTATGAGAGTTTTTGTCATTTGATCCGTACAGAGCCGCACCGTTAAATTCTCAAAAAAAACCCCACCTTACTTATACAGTGCATCGCTTGTTATCTGACCGCTAACTATGATGAAAAGAACCCATTTTAGCGAGTTACCCATTTCTAGGTTCACTACGTACACATGCTTCTCCTATGTACGGAGTGAACCTAGAAATCGATAACTCGCTAAAATGGGTTCTTTTCATCATAGTGGGCGGTCAGCCTGAGATAACAAGTGATGCACTGTGGAAGTAAGGTGAGGTGTTTTTATTGAGAATTTGACTGTATTTTTTTTATTATTCCTAAGAGCGGTCGTAAATATCCCCGTGCAAACTCTCAAAATTTTGCCATGACTCTTACATTTCGCAAGATGATCATCCCACAGTTGGAGCTTGGGCCGCCTGTGTACGTCATTGACCACAAGTTTCACAACAGTTTCCCGTCCGGCCCTTCGCTTTGGTCAATGAGCGCACAGGTCTCTCCGCAACAAATCCTCTAGCATACTTATTCATTTTATTAATTTAATGAATTCGTCGAAAAAAAAAAGGTAATACATGGTAGACAAATTATTTAGAATAAAACTGTGTTGTGACGAAGGAAAGGATGAGCTTGACAACGCTTTTGTGCCACTTTTGTCATACTTGCAAATTCTTCTGTCCTTAGAAACGATGTGTCAACAGTAACACATAGAAATCATAAAAATTCGAGGGAGAATGATAGATTACCTCCGAGGCAGTGTGCACCATTTTTTCAGCAACATCCCGCGAGAGGACGACACCAACTCCTGACACGTAACTTGGAAGGAGATCATCGGACCATTGGTCTTCTGGGATGAAGTAAGGACTGAGAGGGTTTCTAATCACCTTCACTCCACCAGAGGACAAAGTGTGGCGATGCCCTGTATACAAACCTTCCCTATGCTTTAACTCACTGTCACTGCCTAATGAATGCAGCCATCCAATGGTCTCTTGAACGTTAACGAAAGACTCGGCGTTGATTCTCAATACGTACTGAGGGTCACATATCGTGGTGGCCCATTTAAGCCCCAAAAGGGTCTTCACCGTGTGGAGCTCATTTATTTGCGCATAAGTGTCCATGAAATTACCACGTATAATATCATCGTAACGTTGCGATTCCTCTTCGACTCTTTCGTCGTTTATTTCGTCGCTTCCGATCACGAAGAAAGCTTGAAACTGTTCATAGGTGGAGTTCGAATTAAAACGTTTCACTTCCGATATGGTTTTACCCCAAGAAGATCTCACAGCCTTTCGTGCTTCGAAATCCTTGCTGGAGCAGACAATAATTATAATAAGAAAGGTGTCTTTATTGCAGGTGGAAGGAGTAAGAACTACTGCTGTTCTGTTTAACAACGGTGGGTAGGGGGGTAAGGTTGGTTTCGGAGCTGTCGTAACTGGCTGATCATTTTCCTCGTGAGTATTCACAGTCTCGGGCGGGTGGAAAAGTTCCGGCTTAGTAGTTTCCAGGTTGAAAATCGACGGAGAAGGATCGTTTAACACAGCTTCCAATGCTTCATTCGTTTCCAGCCTTATGGGTAAATCGTCATACGAACATAAAAAATGGGTAACAACACATCCAAGGGTAAAAGATGCTACGGAAATCGCAAGCGATCTACTCCCTCTGAATCGCATCTCTTTGTTCCTCGACACAACGTAGAAAACTTTTCTTCCAAATGAAACAGTTTTCTGCAAGAGGCTCTGAGTCTTTCGTGAGAAGGTCGCTGGTAACATTTAGCATAAAATTATTTGGTAAACGTTTTCCAACGTGTGGCCATGTCTTCCGAAGCCAACATCGTACAGACTGCAATGTTTTTGACATGAACACGCGTGGAGATTGTAATCGTTGTCCACTTATAAGAATAAATAAAACGGCATAAAAGAGCGAGGATTTGTTTAGGTTGTCTTGGAAACGTGAAGCTCCTTGACAGGAATGTAAGTCGTTTAATTTAATACAAAAACAGTCTTTGGATCCGAAGTTTACTTCCCCTGAGTAATGAATGCTAGGTGTGGATGAAAAATGAATATTTGATTTCTAGGTTTGAAAACTACGTAATATTGAATAACATCAGGAGCCCATTATGGGCTCCTGATAACAGTGATGCCAATGGAAAATTGATAAACTGACTTCTTTGTAATAGCTTCCTAACTCTTTTTTAGGCAAAGAGCTTCATAGAAAGTTCTAAAATGGTGCTAACGAGGAGGTCAGTGTGACTCCTTCAGTTTGTTTTAACTTCTTGACAAAGGCATACGGCAAATGTCGGGTTTACCGATTTCAATTTGATGAGATGGGGAGGGTTTTACAACATTTCTCTGAGATTTGTTTTTTGTCCAGTTCCAGTTCACTATTAGTATGTTCTTCGAGCTTGTTATTAATTTACCTATCACCGGATAATATTGCTTCGCAAAAGGAGATAGTTTTTATAATAATCCATTGCATATTTTTTTCTCGAACGCAGCTGATTACATCATGTGATCAAATTTGCTCCACCTAAAACTGGGGGGATACCCGTGGATATACCCCAAGTTATATTCGACCCAATTTTCAAACATTACGTCTTCACTGATAAAAAGAGTTTGTTTGAAATTTAATTCAAGACGAATAAGAGTTTAGCTATAGTCACAAAAGAAGGGACAAGATTTTTATCTTCTTTCAGTGCTACCAGAGAACAATGAAAACTAAACATCTCTCTCATGAGGCTGTTCGTAACGTTTCAACCGTGTGTTGAAAAAATACTTGAAGAGTAATAAACACAATAGCCTCAATTTGGCACAGAGATATGCTCGTAAATTTGTCGAAGACCACAGTTTTCCTCGAACTTCGTTATCGGAAAACCGTTCGCATCTCGGAACATTCAATGTCCACAGACAAATATCCGTGCATATTTTCGCGCTAAATGGAGGTTATTGTATATTAACGTACTGTTTAGTGGTGTAGTTCTTTCGAATAATTTCTCATCTACGGGGTGCTTCAATTGGAAGGTGCTTATGTACTCTCTTAAATCAAAACTCGAAGTTTGACGGTAATCTTTCCAAATGAATTAGTATGACCTTTATTTTCGGTGTAAGCTGTTAATTATTGACCCGGGCAACCAGTTGATTTACCAGTTTTTTTTTATATAATAGGCTACCCCTTGACTTACTGGTTTGTAAGGTTCTCTGTAACTCCTCTAGGCTGGGACAACTTAGTCACTACAGCCTTACGACAGCCTTAGGCTTGGCCTCTGCTTTTCAACGTTTGCATATGCGCAGACGTTTGACCGCTCTATTGTTCATACAAGCGAAGTCTGAGTACGTGTTAATTAAGCGACTGTTTCAGCCTTAACCGGGTTGATATCTTTCGGCGCTTTCCTCACGGAAAGAAATGCTGACGAAAGAATCGAAAAGGGCAGATAATGAAAGAGTGATTTATGGGGCAGTCCCATATTACAATACATCAATACCTTCAGTGCTGATGAGTCTAAAGGTTAAGAACATTATGTAAACGAAATCAATGCTAGCCGGGCAGGATATCCCACACCGCGAAGTTGTAATTTTATGTTTTATTTTTTGTGTATCCATCAGATTTTTTTTTCTTTTTAAATGACCCTGGAAAGATTTAACCTTTTCGTTTTTGCGTCGGTTCTCAAATTCTGACACCAGACATTCCATCTATTATAGTTCCATACGAGATAAAAATGCAATTTGCGGTATTAGTCCTCTTGAAGCTTTACAGACTATAAACTGACTTAATCAACTGACGGAAACGGCATTCCCGGGGTAGCAGAGCGGTGAGCGATGAAATAAATTAGCTTAGCGAATCGAAAGTTGAAAATTTTGTGGTACATTTCAAAATGATCCGGACTGACCTCTGAAACACGAAGTCGTTTGCTTTGCTTCTTAACTCATGAGATAATACAGAAAATTGCTCTGTGCAGTATCCCAAGAAACTGAAATATTGATGAATTGCAGGATATTTTTGGAACACTCACCTGCCTCTTAGTAGATTTTGTGCGTCAGTAAAATCATTAAAAATGTATGCGTGGCGCAATAAATTTTGGGTCCGAATATAAATAGCTGGCGTTCGAAATCGAAAGTTTCTTCGTCCACGAC